TCGTCCCAGCCTCTGACAGATGGGGAGGCAGACGTAGCTACTGCTGCAGGTCAGCTCTACCCAGGCACCATGGCTACACACAGCCCCCTTTGCTCTGGTTTATTACTCTCACACACAGGATGGGGCGAACACTAAACCCCTTTTGAGCACTCACACACCAGACACAGGCTTCTGCAACATCAGGCAGCAGGGTCAAAGCTCAGAGACACAATAAACTGCTGACCAAAGATTTTTCCTGAAGACAAGGCTGCAGCAGCCAGCCTTGCAGGACGGGATCAGGAAAAGAGCAGCCATGAGAATAAAAGGCTGGCAAAGAAACAGAAAATACCGTGAGCAAATAACTCTTTCCAGACACCCTTCTGGGCGCATCTCAACCTCCATGTGCTCAGGATGGTCAGGCAGCTGGAGCTTTTAGAAAGGCTACTGGTGACTGCCCCTGCAATCACCACTGTCTCCAGGACAGACAAGGGGAAGATAAACTTGCAGCCCCTCCAGCCGGAGGGCTGGGGCCAGAGTCCTCCCCAGCATCCCAACAGCACCAGCACCCCGGTACTGATCACAGCTCTGCACTGCCAGCAGAGCAGGGCGAGTGGTTTACACCCCGAGCTTCACTGCCAACTGGCTCTTTGTGCTCACACAGGGTGGGAACAACGGAGAGATGGGTGCTGCAGCTCTCTTTGATTTGAGAGCTTATTAGTTCAACTAAAGGAAGAGTCAAAGAAAAGGGGCATGTACTACAAAGCGATCCAGAGGCTCTGGTCCTAAGAAGAGAAGAATACCTGTGCTTGATATAACTGGAACATTTTTCATTCCTTGCTTTCATTGTGCAGATTTTATTTAGGCAATTTAAAATAAAGCTTGCCTTCTTTCAGGTGATATTTGATTTCCATCCTACTCGATGCTTGCCTGAATAGACTCATAGTACGTCTAAACTTTCTCTCTCAATCAAAGAGCTGGGCAGTGCTGCTAAGGCAGTGCCTCCATCTCCTGGCACTGCTAATACCACATGGATGAGATGAACCAAGCGAGGAGAAGGGACTGCTGAGTCCAACATCAGAAGTTACATCACCAAGCACCCCAAGAACTCCAGAACTTGGGAATAACAATGGTGGGAAGGGACATCAGGGGGTTTGGTCCCAGGGCCAAGCTCAAGCAGGTTGCTTAAGGTTTGCCTTTGCCAAGGGCTGAGTGTCTCCAAATGTGGACACTGCCTCCTTTCTCTGGGCTCTGCTCCAGAGCCCAACTGCCCTTTGGGGAAATATTTGTCCTAATATCTAATTGCAATTTCCCTTCTGTGCCATTAATGCTCATCCTGTGCCTGGGCGATTCCCAGGAGAGCTCAGCTCCAGCTTCTCTCCAAACCCACAGCCACTGGCAGCAGTGAGAGCCCCCTTTGCTGCCTTCCCTTTCCCAGGCTGCTTGAACCCACTGCTCTCAGGCTCTGCCTGCTGCAGTACATCAGAAGCCACATGGCAGAGCATCTCTGGAGGCTGCTGGAGCCTCTAAGTCTCCATCCTGCCCAGCCAAGGGTGCCAGCAGGGCAAATAGGAGGTACCTGCATGCAGCAGGCACTTGCACACCTTGGGGATGTTGGATATAAAGACTCACCTCAATACTGAGAGCAGTGGGGGCTGGTTTTTGAGTGTTTGATCCTTGCCCTGGTTAGTAGCAATAGCAAACCTGCAACAAACATAGGTTATCCTGAGCTGGGATATCCCAAATACCTGCTCTGAGAAGTTTGGTCCTAAATACAGAGAGCTTTGGCTTCAGTGCTGTGGTATCTCCATCACGCCCACCAGTGACCTGTCCTCAGCAGTGATAAGCAGGACCATCAGCAGCCAAACTCTGAAGAGATCAACTGAGCTAAATGGAAACTGAACAGTCCAGGGACAAAGATCCACCCCATGCACCGGTGGCTGGGATACCTGGTCACTGCACTGCTCCCTTCTGCTCCTTTGGTCCCTCCTGTGAAGGCCTCAGCATCAAGGATGCCCCAGCCCACCCTAGGACAGCAACGTACCCATCGCTGGAGATGTCTCTTCTCCCAAGTAATAAGTGATAGGACAAGAGGTAATGGCCTCAAGCTGAGCCAGGAGAGGTTTAAACGGGATATTAGGAATGATTTCTTTACCAAGTGGGTGCTCAGGCATTGGAACAGGCTGTCCAGGGCAGTGCTGGAGTCACTATCCCTGGAGGTGTTCACAAATGGTGTAGATGAGGCCCTCGGTGACACGGTTTAGTCTTAGCAGTCCCAGGGAACGAGTTGAAAATGATCTTGAAAGTCTTTTCCAACCTGGTTGATTCCACGTGGGCAAGGCACACGTTTGGCACACGGCTGAGTCAGATCCCAGCCCATTCCCAAGCCACGGGCACTGCTTCAACACACTACATCCTCCGGCTTCCACAGCTCTCCTCCGTCCCCTACTCCATCGCTTGGAGACCCAGCACCCTCCAGGCCCCTTGGGCTCCCTTACAGCCCATCCCTGGGCCAGCACATGCCTTCTGCTTCCCGCTGACTCATCGCCTCTGCTCACACCCTCCTGCCTGACTCACCCCACCGCTGCCTCAGCCCTGTGCATCCACACGTGTGCCGCTGCGTGCGCCCTGGACGCAGCCCTCGGGCCGTGCCACACGCTCTGCAGGGCACCAAACGGAGCAGGGAGCCCGTGACAGAGGCTCAGTGCCTCCTGCAGCACACACACACACACACAGCCACAGACACACACAGCCACGCTGGCTCTGGTCCACTGCGGGAGCCGGGGCACGCTGGGAGCACTGCCCTGTGCCAGCGCTGCCGAGATAAGGAGCGATGCTGGAGGAGGGCTTCCTCCGAGCCTGACTTCCAGGCAAGCCCGTGTGCTTTATCAGCACATAACCCTCCCGCTGTGGGAAGGTTACCCGGTGCTGCCGCAGCCTGGATCCACACCACTAACCAGCCTTCGGGTACAGCCAAACATGCCCCATGGGGCCGTGCCGCTTCCCAGTCTGACTGGGAGCTTCCTGGAGGACAGAAAGGGTTTTCTTCTAAACACGGCTATGGTGGGTATCAGCTGGTGCCACTGCACATGCAGCGCTCTCCTGCGTTCAGCTGTGACTGCTATTTTTTCTCCTTCCAGTAGCTGGTGCAGGGCTGTGGTTTGGTTTCAATCTGTGAACAACGCTGGTAACACACGGATGTTTCAGTTGTTGCCCAGTAATGTTTACTCTGAACAAGGACTTTTCAGACTCTGATGCTCTGCCAGGGACACCAGAAGCCAGGAGGAAGCAGAGACGGGACACCTGACCCAAACTAGCCAAAGAGTATTCCATACCACAGCACACCATGTCCAGTATAGAAACTGGGGAGGGTCACCTGGAAGGGCCAGATCACTGCTCGGGTCATGCTAGGTACTGGTCAGCAGGTGGTGAGCAATTGTATTGTGAATCACTGCTGTTTATTGTTTTTTTTTCCCCTTCCCTTTTTAGTTTCATATTTTCTCTGTTTGTGATTTCCCTTATAATTACCATTACTGCTAGTAGTAGTTTCACATTATACTTAGTTACTGGGCTGTTCTTATCTCAACCCGTGGGGTTTACATTCCTTCCATTCTCCTCCCCATCCCACCCGAATCTGAGGGAGAAGAAGGGAGGATAAGTGAGTAGCTGCATGGCTCTGGGTTACCAGCTGGGCTTAAGCCATGACAAGGGCCCACAGGCTTGCACAGTCCAGTTCCTGGATATGGCTTGTACAAGCCACACACACAATACCATGCACACACATCCTCCGCAGGCTGCTTCCTGATAGCAGTGCCCCTAATTCTAGGAGCTGAAGCCCAAGCAGGCTTCACCCCACATCCTTTCCCTCCACCTCTCCCCCAGCATCACAGGACCACAGCAGCAGAGGCGACAAGAGGCGGACGGCACACTGCAGCCACGCCGGAGCCCATTGAGAGCTGCAGCACACACCTCCCAGCCGGCGAGCAGCTCCGCGTACCACAGCACATCCATCTGTGTCAAGGAACACACGAGAGCGCCGGCGCACACACAAGACACCAGCCTGTGCAGCACACCCGGTCACGGACCTCTGCCTCTGCCTGTCATAGCTGTAGGATCCGTTTCCCATTGACTACAGGAGGAAATCACTCAGGATCAGACACAGGCTCTTTTCTCACTCTTTCCTCCCCACATCCCACGTGTCACAGTCACGCTGACAAGGGGTGGTTATGGTCCCTTCCAATCCCTTCCACCCAGGAGCACTTGGCCAGCTGCAGCGTTTTGCCTACACATGGAACTGCTCACACAAAGCTTTCTGGTGCTGCAACAGGACAAGTCACTCAACCAGCGCATCTCCAGCAGGGTCACACAGCTCCAGCTGGGTCAGGAGGCCCTGACATCCAGGAATTAAAGCCAGACTAACTGTCCTTTAGCCAGGGAGGAGGAACAATGTTTTGGGCTGGGCTATCATGCATTAAAAGAGACAAAACCCAATTTTCTGCCAAAGCTCAGGACTACACGTCAGAACTGGTGATTCTTAATGGATTTTTACATTCCTGACCCTCACCATGTACAAACAGAGCCTTTCTCCCTTCTCGGGGCAAAGAAAACAACAGTTCCCCTGCACACCACCCTCCTCTCTTGGGATGCCTCAGTCCCTGGGGTCCTTCTAAGGAGGATGGAGGATGGGGTTCCATAGTGCTCAATGTATGAGACAGACCAATTTGAGACAGACCATGATGATTTCCTTCCAGCCCCCCATTTGTGACTAACAGAGGGGTAACACCCCATCTGCAACACCCAGAAGAGCAGAGAAGAGACAGCAAGCTGCTCTTGCTTCTGACACCTCTCTCACACCAAGGAAATCCCTTGCAACTGCCTCTGGTTTCCCTTCTGCAGTGCAGGGGGCTAAGAAGAGTGGCAGAGCATCCCTTCAAAGTACAGTGACTAGACCTTGCTGCCTTCAAACAGCAGGTTTCAGGTCAGCAGGCTGGGACCTGTCAGCAGAGAGGAGTTTACTCACCCACCTTTACGTTAGTCGCATGCTTCTGCAGCACACGTGATGCCAGAAGATGGGGCTGAAAGAGAGGATTTTGGGCAACAGCAGGTGAGGAAGTTCAGGCTTTCTCAATGTCAACGCTAAGCAGCAAGAAGTACACAAAGTTGACCCTTGTGCTGAAATGGTTCCTGGTTACAAGAACAGGCACACGGAGCACAAATCTGAGGCCATCTACAAAGGTGAGCAGAAGATGATATGGTCTCTGGGAGCCCTGAAGCCTTCCATTTCTGGGCTCTCCTCACAGCAGCTCTGTGCTCCCTACAGCTCTCCCTTGGTGCTTGAAAAGTAGAGCAGCCTCCAGGCTGCTAGGTCAGGTGGTGGATGCAGTGGCCCTCATGGAGTATTCCCTGGGATCAGCTCTCACCTCCTAGACGGAGCCCAACGAAGCATCAGCCTTTTGCCCCAAAAATCACATCCAAGGTCGTTTGATCCAACATAAAGACCAGATGTGGAATTTCTTTACATGAAACGGGGGAGCTCCATCATCCTGCGCCAGCGAATGGAGCTGAAAGGCCAAGTGCCAAGTTTTAAGGACTAAACCGCCTTTTCTGGTCGGTAACACAAATCCAAGTTGGCTAAAATTGGAAAGCCCACCGTGTGCTTCACAGCTGGTGCTCATCCTTCCTGCAGGCTGGAAGCCCTTATTGTTCCACAGCCCTGATCAGGTCCCCGCCCTCAGCAAGGGGATGCTCTTGTTGACTCAGCACATCCTGCAGCCCTCCATACACGTCCTGGGTGGGCCGGCCGGCTGGCTCGTGCCATCCGAAGCTGAAGATGGAAACGGGCTGTGTCCTCTTCCCACCTTGCTGTGGGAAGGGAAACAGATGTTTCTGCCATCCATCCCTTCCCTGGCTTCTATTGCTGGACCCCCGCACGGCAGCCTGAATAGATGACATGAAGCAGAGGGGCTATAATTGGGCTTTACTCCTTGAGTACATGTGAGAAATACGGTTTTAGCTTGGGCAGGCATTGAAAAGTCAACTTCCCTCTTCTGTCCAGGCAAAATGTGCCTGCAGGCACCCAGAGCTGTCTCCTCTGTCTCCATTTTGGAGAGATCATCCCTTCCAGGCATTGCCTTTTACTCTCTGCAGCCTCCATCTGCCCAGATCTGGTGGGAGAGGCCCAAGAGCTGCCTACAAGAGTGATGCTGCAAATTCACATGCCATGTGTGAGGGCAGCTGCAAATGCTATATGGAGGGGGAAAACAAAACCAACCCACCCCAAAGTCCCAGGGCAGAAGGCCTGCACAAAGCCAGCAGTCCTGGCCTCCTGGCTCCCAGGCTTGTGTTCACCACTCATTCATCTCAGGATACAATTCCAGTTTTCACTCTGCTCCTAAAGCTCCCCATGAAGTTGTTCTCACTGAGTTTCACAATTTCTTTTCTCCCTCTTCCAGCAGCGACCTCAACCACTGCTGCCTCTCAGCAAAAGGGTCTCCATGACCTTTGTAATTCAACACACTGGGAAAGGCTCAATCCATTCCCTCTATTCCCAGCCCAAAGCAGACCTTAAAAGCCCTCTTTGTTCCTGCTACAAACCCTATCCCACAACTGTGGCTTAACCCTTAGGGCACTGCCTCAAATAAAGACTGCTTCAGACAAGCAAGGCGGGTTGCAGCATCCATGGGAAGCTGGACCTACAAAAGAGCTGTGCTGACAGTCTGCTGGTGGCTTGCAGGACACACTGGATACACACAATGGGCAGCACGGGGTGATGCTCTGACCGTCCTCATCATCAGTACAAACAAGTACCAACATGTGCATGTGGGGACCGTGTGCCCCACACTGCTGCAGACACATGGGTTGAGCTCACAGTGTTTTATAGCCTGCTGGTTTTACTCTGCCTGCCTTCAGTTCAGCAGGTTTATTGCAAAGCAGGCTCCATGCAGGCAGATTTGGGGCTGCAAGGAAGGAATGGGATTGAGGAAAGAAGCAGATAGGATCAGGAAATCCTCTGCTCCTGTCCTCAGCTACAGCCACTGCTCCATGGCCAAAGCAGAGACAGCGAGGGATGCCATGCTGTCACCTCTGCAGCCTGCACATAGGTAAGTGTGGTGACAGCACTCCGGATTCTTGCTTTGTCTGAGACAAGCCCAGACCCATATCCCGAGCAGCAGCCCATAAATCACACGAGGGAGGAAGCAGTGCCATGGACTTATCATGATCATATGCCCTGCACATGGGAATGCAGAGGGGATGGAAGGTGCAGCTAGCCCTCCTTCCCCTAGCATGATCCCTGGCACAGGAGAAGGCGGTATGCAGCAAGGACTGTTCTGTGGCATCCCAAAATGATGGAACACAGCTGCCCTGCAGCACCCTGAAACACAGCTCCACAGCAGACAGAGCAGGCTCACACTGCTGCACCCCAAAACACCACCTCTGTAGACAGGATGGGATAGGGCTGCTCTGCAGCACCCCAAAATGCCATTTCCTACCAGCTGCTGTAACTTCCCCTATGCCCCTTTCCGGTCCTGCTCCGCCACAGGGAAACTGAGTCACAGTGAAAGGACAGAGAGCAGGGAGGCAGCACCCAGCACAGCATGGGGAGTAGGGCGAGGATGGCATCGACACCTCTAAAACCCCAGCGATGGGGAGAGATAAGGATACCCACATGCCCCACATTAATCAGCTACCTGAATTACAAGCCTCCTGTGTTCCCACCTCCCTTGAAGCAGAAGCTGGCCCCATTCTGCTGCTGGCCATTCGGACTGCACCCAGCTCTGCTGGGCTACAACTGCTCCCATGGACTGACTCGCATGCTCCCTGGAGCCAGAGAGAATGGGAACATGCAGGGCCCTGCACCAATGCATGTAACTTAGCATGGCCCAGAGCAAGGTATGGCACATAGGAACAAAAAGCCCCAAACCAAACCCAAACAAGTTAAAGACCCAGACAGAGCATTATAAACCAGAAGAGTGTCCTGGATCCCAAAAGGCTGGTAGGGGACTGGACGCTCCTTGACAGCAAGTGGTTGCAATCTTTACTTGAAAAGATTCATGCGTTTGAGTAACCTCTTGGATATTCTGGTCCAGCTCTAGAGCTGATGAGTTTCCAGGTACTGATGTCAGCCTCTCTGCTTCCACCACACACCTCCAGAAACCCTTCTGAGGGCCTGCTTTCCAGTTAAGGTTTCCACAACAGTGCTCACCCACTCCAGCATCCTTTAAAATCCCTATGTCTGGTGCAGTAGTAAATCACCACCCATTTATCTGCCTTGCTGGCAGAGAAGCTAAAGATTTGCTCATTCAGGCCCTGGGTTAGACATGTCACCAACATTATTAAAGTTAAGGGTTTTTTTACTGCATTTCTCAAGATCACAGTGAGGTTAAGAGCCCTTCTGGGCCGCTGAATGGGAAAGCAGAGATCAAGCTGCAGAAAATACACAGGTATTATACCCTTCTCATCTGAAAATCTCCTGGCATCTTTACCCAGGCTCAGGTCTTTTGGTTCCTTTATTCCACTTTCCTGGGGACCCTGAAAACAGACCCTTCCCCAGGGAAACACGTTAAGGTGGTAAGTTCTGTGGTTGCCATAAAACCATAACGCTAGTGCCAATACCCTTGCCCCAGCTCTGTCTCCCAGGACAGCAAAACAGAGATTAAACTCATTATCCCCTATCACTTTATGGCGCAATCTTTTCATTTCTCTGTTAACACACATCTGAGACGTATCGAGTGTCAGGCAGGCTCATTCCAAAGGAAATTCCCTGCTCTTTCCTTACAAGGATTTGTGCAAGTAATGACTTTTTGGTAGCAAAAGAAAGTCCAAACCAAATCAAAACACCACCATCAACCCTCCCCCCCCACCCAAAAAGCACTCCAAAAATTCCACTTTAAGGCTGATTAAGGACAGAATTTGACTTTTCTTTCAGACCACAGCTTTGATCAGACCTTTCCCAGGCTCTGGAGGGAAGAACTGAGTGTTCTCCGTACTGCTCACACTGGTGCAGCTCCATCACCAAGGCCTGGGGTTGTGTATTGAGGAAGCTTTCAAGTGGGAGATGCCTTTTTCTTCCCAAAAGTGACCAGCACATGAACACAGGCATTTCCTGGTAAACTGTTCCTCCTTGCTTCCAGCCTTTCCTACAGAGGTGGCCTCTGATAGCAGCCTTCCTCCGGAAGCACTACTGCATTTTGCTCTGCTGCTCTAACAGTATGATATTGAAGGGAAACAGAATTAAGCAGAGCTGTGATCTATAGTAAATCATTCCTCCTGAGCTGCCAGGGAGATAGCTGCACAGGAGAAAGACAGGAGCTCTGTTTCCTCAGCAAATCTAAGCCACGAAACACCCCTTCGGTTACAAGGAACAGGCGCAGCAGCAACAGGAGCACTTTCAGGGGGCCAGATTGACACCGCTGGTTTCTGTGTCCTCTCTGTCCAGATTTATCACAGGACCAGGCCAGACCATTGCAAACACCTTAAGATCTCAGGCCATCAGCGCAGGGAGGATGTCAGCAGACCAGACACAGACAAAAAGCCTGAGAACATTCTAGTTCCTCAAAAACTGCTCGTACTTTCAGCTGTTGCTGCTCCTAGAAGATGAACTGAAAGCAAAGCTCAGACCCAGTACTTGATGCCATGGCAGCTTTGTTTTGCCAGATGCCACAGCAGTGAGGACTTTGAGCTTGCCCTCCCTACACCACCAGCCCAGCTATGTTAACCTCACCAGCAGTGCAAACACTGGTGTAGAAAGGACCGGAGTGACCGTGCTAACCTGCCTGTGCTGTGCTCTCTGCACTGCTACAGCTCTGCTGACTGGCAGGAAGAAACCCCCATTGCACAGAGTCCAGGTATCTTCTCCACTTCCAAGCTGAGCAAAGAGTTGGCTCTTGCAAGCTATTTGTTATGCACCTTCCAGATGGGGCAATCCACACAGCACTGCTGGGCTCAGCTATCATCTCACAGGCTAGGGAATGCAGAAACATCCATCGAGTCATAGCTTCCTCTTGGTTCCAATGATCCATCATCTCTCTGCTGTAATCCCCAGCTCTGTTTCCACAGCAGCACCATTCAGGTTGCTCCTGATGCCCGAAAGGACACTGGCCACTTGCTCAGCACGGTGTCCCCACTGACTATTAGCAGGTTTGCACGTCCACGACTTGCCTAAGGCGATGGCAGTGGTGAAGTGCAGCAGCACGTAACCCACACAGGACTTTCCAAACTTCAACACCGCAGCTCAGCCAGGAGGAAATCTCTCTTGGCTGCCTCTCCCTAAATGCTTATTCCAGCACTGCCTGTCTTAAATACTCCCCAGACTGGGAGAAGAGTATGTGACCACACCACCTTCGGGCTTTTCTGATGTGCTTGCAGTAGGAACAGGCAAGGCAGTAAAAGGGAGCAGCACTTCAGAGATGACACAGTTATACCCCATCAGGTCACAGCACCCAGGAGTTGAGTCTCAGGCAAGGTGCTGTAAAAATGGCAAAAGAAAGAGCACCACCTGCCCTAGAAACCGACATTCATACCCCAGCACACATCCATAACTCAGAGCCCTCTCTCATGGGCTCTGCATCCACTTCATGCTATGGTTCATGGCACATCTTGAGGCCACAGTCTGGAAGGCAGATCAGAAACAACAGGCTGTATAAGAGGGGTAAGAGGGAAGTACAGTTTGGATTCTGACCACTCTCCACCACCATCCACACCCGTAATATATTATAAACACCAATTCTCATACCAGGTGCTGAAGGTCACATATGTGAAGAGCAGTGCTCAAGATGCTGATCTGGAATTGCCTTCAGGGTCAGGTACCAGCGTCCCAGCATCCTCCATGGGAAGCAAGCTGTTCCCCTCTGAAAAGGGAAGGAACCTGCAGGAAGTGGGAGGGAGGGAGGAAGCACACTGCTCTCTGCTGCAGACAGCTTTCCCAGAGGCACCATGTTCCAGCTTCCACCTCCTAAATAAGGAGGTGTTCTCCCTTGGGAACACCAGGGTCCAGAGTCCAGGGGACATTTTACAAACGCATCCAACCTGTTCAGGAGTTCTAATCATAGAATGGTTTAGGTTGGAAGGGACCCACAAAGCTCAATTTAGTCCATTCCCCTGCAACGAGTAGGGACATCTTCAATTAGATCAGGTTGCCCAGAACCATGTCCAGCCTGCCCTTGAATGTCTCCAGGGATGGTGCATCCCACACCTCTCTGGGCAACCCGTGCCAGTGTTTTACACCCCCTTTGTAAAGAATTCCTTCCTCACATCCATCTCCCTCTTTTAGTTTAAAACCATAACTCCTCATTCCGTAGCAACAGGCCCTGCTGAAAAGTCTCTCCCCATCTTTCTTATAGGTCCCTTTTAAGTACTGAATGGGTGATCTGGAACTGCAGCATTGCACAGCCTCTACAGATCTTTCAATCACCCTAAACAGGAGAGGGACATGATGGCATATTGGGAATGGTGAAATGGTTTTCAGGGGAGTTTCTGAGGCTTTGTCCCCTCGTTCAGGGTGGATGGAGAAGTAACAGCTCAGGCTGTGACACTTGTAAGCACAGGGCTGATGGGCAGCTCACAAACAGGCGTCCTTTCCTCCCCAGTTCTGCCTGAACGTCCCAACCCCAGACAAACTGATCACAGGCACCACAGCAGCAACCCATGACAACCCCACATACGTGAGCTCAGAGCATCCTCTGAAGGTGGAAGCGGTGGGGCAGGCTTCTTCCCCTCTGTTCTGGGCGCAGAGCTGCAGGCAGGGCATTGCAGCTCTGTGAGCACTGACCTTTGGGAGGTGTAATGGGAGAGCTCTACAGATCACACAGCCATCCACACTGAGATGGGCAAACTGCGCTTGCAGCCAGCCTGTCCCTTCCGCCCGGCTCGCACGCAGGGCTTTAGGCACATAATGGATAACAGGTCAAGTCACAGTACACAACATGGCCAGGCTGGAGCTGGCTTCCTGACCTATTCTCTGTGCACAGCGGTATCATGATGTTCCCTGCTTCCTTCAGCAACAGGAGCCAGCTCTCCACCAGCACGTGGCAGTGGGTCTGCCCAAAGGCAGCTTCAGAAACATCTAACCCCTCCTTTACCTGCCTCAGAGGGCACACTAGGGCTTCTGCTCTCCCTCACAGTACAGATACCCCAGAGCAAGGCAAACTGGCTGTGAGAGGTGGATGGTTCTGTACAGGGCCAGGCATCCTGGGAAGACACATGCATGACTGCAGCCACTTACATTGATTAACTGAGGATAAGCAAGGGCAGCAGAATGACTTGCTTTCCTCGGTGGTGCAGTGAGAGGGCTCAGGAGACTGGTTTTCTTTCTGGTTTAGCCTGCTCTGCAACTCCAGCCTTCAAACACAACAGGTCTGCAAACAAGAGCTGCCTGACCCTTCCCCAGTGAGGGGCGAAAGAAGGGAGGAGGTGGACAAAACGCTGCTGGTGGAGGGGAACAGCTCTGGATGCTAGATGTCATGCAGGAGCCCAGTGGTGCTGAGCCCATGGCATGGCTGCGATGGGGCTGCATCAAGAGCTGTGGCAGGTTGTAGGTTTGCCCTGGCTACTCCTTCACCGTGCGCTGCAGAAAGCACACAGCAGCAATGCTGGCTGTGGCAAGCTGCCATAGCAATCCCCCCAAGAATGCTCCTGCCTCCCTTGTCTCTGCTCCCCCAACCTTGCTGTCCCCTCCCCGCTCCCCTACACATAAAACCTGCTGCACAACATCCAAATGCCTCAACGTGCTCCTGAAGGGCTGTTCATCACCCTGAGGAAGGAAGGGAGCTGAGGTGGAAGCACACTCCCCAAGCATCATCCCCACATGTTTCTTGGGCAAGGTGCCTACTCTGTACCTGGTGCCTCACACCCCACTGT